TTTACAGCAGCTTTGTCACAGCTTTATTTGGTTGTATAACCTTGCCAGCTTGAACTTTTTTGAGATTCTGGAATTTGTTTGGACGCTTGTCTGGAACTTAAGGTGAAGACGGGTTGTTCTCGATATTATAAGGATATTGTTACTGGGTGCTCACAGTTCATTTGTGACTGTCATGAATAAGTGTTGCATTTAATAAAGAGTTGTTTATTTAACATGTCAATAAAGCTGTGGTCTTGCTCATCCAATGAAGATTCTGTGTCGGGTCATATTTTGTGGAGGGGCAGGGATTGCATGGGAAGCAAAGGAATGATAAGGTCGAACTATGAATCTCAGAGGTCAAGTTCTAAACATAGATGAAGGTTACATAAACTTTATAGACCAGGATTGTCTGTATTATAAATTCATAAAACAGTTTAACTTATCAGACTTTATATTTACACTTCAAAATTCTTCAAATCACATATAATTTAATATTTTAGAGGTACTTTAACTTTGCACTACAGTATATTTAAGTTTCTTATGCTTAGTGGCTGTCCATATATTGAAAGTATCTGTAAGAAATAAGTCAAGGCAACTGGACTTGCTGTATTTTTTGAAGACGTATCACTGGTTATCCAACCAGCTTTCTCAATTCAGAATGACTGAATTCCCAGAGAAGTTTTGTACAAGTCATTCTGAATTGAGAAAGCTGATTGGATAACCAGTGAAACAGCAAGTCCAGTTGCCTTGACTTATTTCTTACAGATATACCATGACCTGGATGAATGAGAACCTCCAAAGATATATATTGAAAGGTCTGCAATCATGTTTAAGTTGACTAAAATTATAGAGACCACATCATTTGAACTATAAGTTCATACAATTCCTTATTAACTTATTAAAAGCAAATTTCACATCTTTGTTCCTCAAGCTGTATATAATTGGGTTCATCAATGGTGTGCCCACAGTGTAGAGCAGTGACATTAATTTGCTTATGGTCAATGACTGCCCACTAGTTGGAAGGTCATAAATAACAATCAATGTTACATAAAATAGGGAGACCACCATCACATGGGAACTGCAGGTGGAGAAAGCCTTCTGTTTTCCAGTACTGGATGGGATTTTTAATATGGCAAAAATAACAAATATATACGATATCACAATAAATAAAAAGGGCAAAAAGAGAATAGGCACACTAAGCAAAATCATCTCTAACTGAACCGAGAATGTATCGGAACAAGAAAGTTTTAGCAGTGGTGAAACATCACAGAAGAAATGGTCAATTATATTTGGTCCACAAAAATCAAGACCAGCAATTGTTATTGTGCTGATCATCATGGAACAAATGCTCGACAACCAAGAAATGATGGTCAGCTTTATACACAATGACTCGTTCATTATATAAATATATTGAAGTGGGTTACAGATGGCCAAATACCGATCATACGACATCACTGTCAGAAGAAGACACTCGGTACATTCAGTCATTACAAAAATATAATACTGGAAAATGCAGCTTGTAAAGTTCATTGTTTCACCTTCATGAAGTAAAATATAAAGAAAGTTTGGGGAAATGTCTGTGGTTAGCATAATATCAGATATAGAGATTTGGATGAGGAAGAAGTACATTGGAGTGTGGAGGGTCTTGCTGTAGGACACCAGTGTGATGATCAGGAGGTTTCCACCAAGAGTCAAAATGTAAACTATAAAAAGAAAAACTAAGACAAGAACGTTGATGTCTTTGGTGCTTTGGAATCCCAATAGGATGACTTCTTTAATCTGAGTCTGGTTGTATTTAGACTTTTCCTGAAAATAAACTGAAAATAGAAAAAAAGTTTCCTTGGCAGTTATGTAATCATTAAACAGAAACTACAGAAAACAAATCCAACCTGTGAATTATTATCCAATCAGTTATGTTGGAAACACTAGAGCTGTTCAGGCAACCAACTCAGTATAGGTTAACATGAGCTGTATTCTATAATTTTAGGAGTACAAGTCAACTAGAGGAGCAGGGTAAGTAAAGGCATTTTGGACACAGATCCTTTGCAGGGAATTCATCAGGGAGTTCGGCTATTCACTTCTGGCTTGTACAGCAGATTTCAGCCGTACATCGGCTGAAATCAGCCGTACATCGGCTCTGTACAGCTGCCTTCGGTCAGCCGAACATGCTCTGCATGTTCGGCTGAGCCAAAGTGCAGAAGGAGTTCGACTCAGCCGATCAAACATCTGGATCGGCTGAGCCGAAGCTCCGGCGGCTCACTCACTGCCGCTCGCTCCTATTCTCAGAGCGGCCGAACGGCAGTGAGTGAATAGCCGAATGCCACCGAGTGGCATTTGGCTTGGCTATTTTGCTCGGTACCGCCAAGGTACCAAGCACTATACAAAACCAATGAAAATAGTCACACAAAAAAAAGGTTGAAAAAAATGTTAAACTGTAAATAAATAGTAAAATTTAAAAATAAATACAAATATTAAAAAAATAAAAACAATTGTGTGGAGCAAGCAGTGACAGCTAGCTCCGCCCAACTGTTATCTATTGTCCGGCACCTGCTAGAGTCCTTTAGCAGGTCCCATCCAATGAATAACAACTGGGCTCTGCCCTGTTGTCATTGCTTAATGACAGTTCAGCATCCCAAAATCATTTGGGGATACTAATCTGTCATTACAATTGGGCGGAGCCAGACGTGAGATCACAGCTGGCTCCACCCTGCTGTCATTTGCAGGGAGAACGGCTATAGTGAATAGCCGTACAGCAGCACTTCGGTTCAACTGAATCGAAGGGCTTTGGCTGCCGATGACAGCCTAAGGATCAGCCGAAGCTATGGCTGGATCCTTTGGCTCCTTTGTGAATAACCCCCATAGTCAGAAAAGTGAACTATGCCTTTAAAGTGTATGCAAACCCAAAATCAATTGTTAGTATGTTTGTCATCATGCCTCACCGTATAGACTTTTCTAAAGCAAATCATTTTTTTGTAAATCTGTTTTGATATTTCTTAGCTGAAAATTCTGCCAATAACAGAACTTCCTGTTGCTGACTTACAATACTATGTGGCTGCAAATAGCAGCACTGTTGTCAGCTTTCCATGCCTGCTCCTTCAGTTGGCCATTGGAGTTGCAAGTGCAGTTGCCAGTGCTGTTTTTGTAGGGTAAAAAACTGTTATACAGTACGTTGAAGCCAAACATACTGAAAAATAGATTTTGGGTTTACATACACCTTGAAAACCCTTATTTAAAGACACATTCAGAGAATCTTTCATCAGGGTGGTTTTAAAGCTATTATGCTATTTACTTTACAAGCATCAGAGATTGTTGATCCCAGGAATATCCGAATGCCTTATGGGATCAGGAAGGAATTTTTTCCCCTGTTGGAGCAAATTGAACCATGCTTTATAGGGTTTTTTTTGCCTTCCTCTGGATCAACAGGGGGTAATTGTGGTCATAGTGTTCTGTTTAGGCTTTTCTTCTTTTTTTTTTCTTCTCTATAGGTTGGACTCGATGGACTTGTGTCTTTTTTCAACCTGACTAACTATGTAACTATGATTGTGTGTGGCAACATTTAAAAAAATTGAGTTATTTTAGCTAAGATAAAATGTTCACCATAGCCTCGGTTCCCTATATATCTCTAGCCTGTTTTTGGAAACATTTAACTTTTTTAAACAATGGAATGGATTAAAAATAAACCTGAAGCATGGTCTAGGGAAGCATCACTCTTTTTTACTAAATTAGTCTTTGTTCTCTTCTATATTTACTCTCAGTTCTCAGCTGCACCTGTGCAATTTGAATCAGGGTGGCTGTTGCGCAACAATGCATGACAACACACAACAAAAGGAACCCCATTATTCTACGCACTGTGCTGCAATGCAAATTTGAAAAACCCAAAGGCGCTTCTTTTGGTGCTTCTAGTTTGTTTTTAGACCCATAGGCTTAAATGGGTGTGCATGAAAAATGCATGAAAATGACATGTAACATGTATTTTAATGCATGGCAACAAGCCTTCACCCCCTAGCATCCTATACCTCATCCTTTTCCTTCCATTGGCCAAAAACAGAAATACATAATGAATGAATGAATGCATTAAAGTGCAACAAAAACATGCTAAAAGACATGAAAATGCACATGGCATAAAAGTGAAGATTTAGGATTGGATACACTGAGGTTCAAACTAGAAGGCTCCTGTTTTCACTAATAAGAATTATGGGAGCAACATTGAAACCAAACATTCCATCCTTACAGTCAATAGCTCATTATAAAGCAATGTTAACAATTTAATAGCCAATAGTAGATACATAAATAAAAAAAATAGATATTTAATTATATGGCATAAAGAAACAAATGATAAACTCATGCTGATCGTACCCCCTTTTCCAAAGACAGATTTTGCTCCATGGCTCACACTTTTTCATGCACTCATTTTCCACAATATTTATTTTGAAAATATAATATCAGCAAGCATCAATTTATATAATGAACAATTGCATCACACTAAAATCTTCAGAGAGTTTGATCAGCGTCATAAAACCTTCAGAGACCCAGTTAAGGAAATATTCAGAAAGATGTATTAAAAGCTCAATTTATAATTGTATACAATTAAATTATTGTAAAACTAAACAAGCAATGCAAAGCTGAACTGGGCACAAAAACTTTGATTCAAATATATTCCTCAGTAGTTACAAAAGATGAAAATCTACTTTGTGTTCCCCAAATGCCTTTTTGAAACCAAATATGACCCTATAAAGTAGTGATGATGTTATCACTGTGCTGTACATACTTTGTGCAGAGAGCAGAGCTATGGGAGGGGCCCCACAGGCCTCCTACAGAAAACTACAGGAGGGGGCGGAGTCAAGACCAGTCACCTTTCACGAAGAGAGAGAGCAGCAGTGACTGGTTTTTACTACAGGAGGGGCAGAAATAAGACCAGTCACCATGCACAAGGAGGGAGAGCAGCAGTGACCGGTCTTTATTACAGGAGGGGGTAGAGACAAAAAACAGTCACCCTGCACAAGGAGAGAGAGCAGCAGTGACCGGTCTTTTTTACAGGAGGGGGCGTAGAGGAGACCAGTCACTCTGTACAAGGAGGGAGAGCAGCAGTGACCGGTCTTTATTACAGGAAGCTCCAAGTTTCACACTGGATCACCGCACAGATCTGGAAGAAATGCACAAAGCTCAACAAGATTCAAATAAGAACATACATGCCTCTTTCATTTAGAAAATGTTTGCTTAGGTTCAGTTTTAAGGCCTTTCCAACTAAAACATGTATTTTAATGTTGGACATAGGCTAATGAGCTGAAATCCCTGCCAGATTATTATACCAGTTTGAGATTTTCATTTAGCTGAACTTAAAGGGTATTTCCACCTTTGCAGTCAAATTTGAGAAAAAAACCAAACACCTCTATATGTTTGTTATGTGTTCCTGTTCACACAGCATACTGAAAAATGACTTTTAAAATAATGTCTTAACTATTAAATGTTTTGTTAACCTCTTGCTGACCGCGGTGTTTACACCCCCTTCCTGTCCAGGCCATTTTTCAGTGTTAAGCGCTGCGGTACTTTGGCTGACATTGATTCCGTCATATAATGCTGTACTGAAATTAATTTTATACCACTTTTTGGGGACAGATAGAGCTTTCTTTTGGTGATATTTAATCAACACTGGGGGTTTTTATTTTTTACTATATATCAAAAAAAGTACTGAATATTTTTTAAAAAATGGTTTTCCCTTTATTATTTTAGGAAACATTTATTTTTACCCAATTTTTTGGTAAAATATAAAAGACGGGGTTACGTCGGGTAAATAGACACCAAACATGTCAAACCTTAAAATTGTGCACGCCCACGAAAATCGCAAAAAAACACCATAGCCAAAATTGGTCATAGGCCACGCTTTAAAAGATTTTACCGCTCATCAGTTTAGTGTTATCAGTGATTAATGGCCCTAAAATTATTGCTCTCATTGCGACGTTCACGTCCATATGTAACGCGTGCAGCATAATTGGAACAATCGTCGTTTTTGTGTGTAGGCGCTACTAACGCATTTTTGCGCATTTATGTGGGGGTGGGGGACTTTAAAAAATTACAGTTACAGGTCCCCTTTATGGAGACATCAGAGGTCTCTAAGACCCCTAATGTCACCTAGGGACCCCCAGAGAAGCTGATGAAGCACAGATCTGCTTCATCAGCTTCTCTCCGGTTTCTGTACCGGAGAGTGGCAGAGGAATGCGGAAGTGATGTAATATACATCACTTCCTGCATTCAGAGACCAGGAGGAGAGCGGAGGGAGATTGGGTGTTGATCTCCCTCCGTTCTCAGTGCACAGAGCCACATCGCCCAGGCTGGATGGACCCCCGGGATTGCGAGGATGGCGGCGGCAGGGACAGCGACGGCGACCAGAGGTAAGGAGGGGGGTGAGCACCCTCACATGAATCATACAAGCGATCGGGCATCTTCACAGACGCCGGACCGCTTGTATGTAAACGGCCATTGCTGGCCGTTTAAAATTCAGGCGGTTTCCCGCTCGTGAGCGCCTTGGGGCGTGTGCGAGCACGAAGGACGTCTAAAGACGCCCACCCGCATCCAGGAGACTCCCGTCCGGCCGTCTTTCAACGATCGGCGGCCGGGAAGTGGGGTAAAGCAGCCAAGATGGCTGATTCCAGGTTTTTCTTGGCCCTTCTACAGTGGTCTGTACTAATGGAAAGGTTTGGGCAGGATTGTGTTTTTCTGATAAGCTTCATTAACACACAATGGACAAGCCACCTTAGACCCCTCACCCCTCACAACCCATCCTAACATTTCAAAGAAATAGAAACATGAATAAATGTTAACCCTTAAAACCCTAAGCCAAGTAAAAGCAACTTAAACTGCAAGAAGCATTTTTTTTTATTTTTTGTTTTAGCTTGTGTTATGTAAATGGGAACATGTAGCAAACATTTTAGGATCAAGATCCTTGCTCTCAAGTTTGATGCTCTATGCATCTACATCATCTATCTTATAATCACACACCATTTTTGTCCTTGATGAAGGATGGAAAAAAAGCATGTCTTGCATTAAGCCTTGATGTCATGGGCTTGATGGTTGAAAGCTGAACTAAATGTAAACAATGTTACCCAGATTTGAACTCCCAGAATTCATATAAACTTAGGCATTTCCACCTCTCCATCCCAAAGCCTAAGGCCCTACACAGGCCCGATGTAGTATTTGAAACCATATGTAAAAACAGTCTCCTGCTCCCACACACTATTTCTATGATCTTCTAGTTTCTAACTGCTCCTCCCCTGCGACAAGTCAGTTTTTGGTCAGTGGGTAGTGGTTTAAGGTTAGAGAAAAGTTGAGGAGTCTCAGAAAGTCTAGATATTTGTCAAAAGAGGAATCCAGGTCTGTCCTATTCATGAGTCTGCCGTGGGTGATAAAATTAGCTACTCTGATTGCGCTTTTCTTCATAAAATGGCTAACACACATCAAATTGCATAAATGTAATTTGTTTTGTTTGCTAAAACCTTTGGAGCATCCAATCATCCACTCTTGTGAATCACACACCCATTTCACACTGCATGTTCAGGTGGTTGACCTTGGTATGATGTTGTCATCCCTTTTCTGTAAGCAATCACCCTAAACTGGCTTACTCTGTTGGCTCTCTCTTGAGTCTTGGTGCCCATAAGTTCCAGCTTTATCATCATGACTTTTTCATCAGATTGCAAATCAAGATCAAGATAACACAAAATATGATGACCATTGTCAGCTTGGACCGCAGGTTACATATTTACCCTTGCAATGTTACATATTAATACAATACAATGTTACAAATGATTACAAATAACCCATGCAATTGCAAGGGTTAATATGCAAAATGTGGTCCAACGTCCCAAGCTCCATGCCTCTGATGAAGTCAATCTGGATGTAACATGTGTAGGGTAAATCTTGTGAAGCAGAGAAGTAGGCAGAGCAACCAAAGGAAGATTGGAGTAGGTTTAGCTTACCTGGTGGTGTTCCTTCCCTTCTTATATCACAACAGTTTTCTGTTGTGCATTTGGGCATTTTTTGGACATTCATGGTGTATTTTTTGTATCATTTTGTGAGTAAAATTTTAAATTAAGATTTTATGTTTAACAGTGTACACTATGGCCTGTATTTTCTTTTTATTTTGTGCTGAGGTAAAACAGCATATGGCTTCTAGCGAACACGTGTGGTTGGATAGGAGAATTTTAACCAGTGGGCTCCATTAACGGTAGATCCCGGATCTATAACAAAGGGGGAAACAGTGTTGTTGTCCACGTATCTTGTCCAGGTCTGAGCCCAAAGTGAGCAGCACTCTATTGGATGTTCACGTGGTGATTATTATGTGGTGGTGGAATGGCTCTGAATTTATTCAACCTTCATGAAACATCATGAGCCCTTATAGATAAATCTGTGAGCTATAGTGCAATGAAGCGGTGTTCAGTTCCAATGGAATTAACACTTTTTTTTTCTTTTATTTGTCATTCCCAACCATTAATTGACTCTTAAAAGTAGGGAATGGTTAAACCAGCTATCACTATCCTTTCTGCATCACATATAATAAATGTTCCTTTACTTCCTTTCTTGTAAACACCACAACAAATTGAAAAAAAAAACATGAAGAAGACTTGTCACCAATCAACAGAAGAGTTGTCCTAAAACTGGAGAGAGCCCAGTCAAGGACACACAATTATTTAGGTGGCAGGAGGACCTCAGCTATGGTTAAGCAAAGTGGGCAGCACAGTGGTGTAGTGGTTAGCACTATTGCCTTGCAGCACTGGGAGGGGTCCCTGGTTAAAATCCTTGCCACGTCACCATCGCGAATGAGTTTGCATGTTCTCCCGGGAATTTCTTCCAGGTATTCTGGTTTGTGTGGGTTTCTTCCAGGTATTCTGGTTTCCTCCCACACTCCGAAGACATGCTGAAAGGTTAATTGGATCCTGCCTAAACTGACCCTTGTATGTATACATGTGAGGTAGGTACCTTAGATTGTAAGCTCCTTGAGGGCAAGGACTGATGTGAATTAGACATTTGTTTTGTTCCAAATCGACATTCAGACACATCCGAAATTCAGATCCCGTACAAATTTTGTTCAAGAATCGGACATGTGACTTTTCTGGCCAATTCGTGTTCAGACCCATTCGGATGCATTAAATGTTTTTTCGGTTTAATGCACCTGAATGGGTCTGAACACAACTTTTCGTTATGGCAACATTGGAGCCATATACAGTATATACTGTAGCAGGTCATCATGTAGAGAGCCAGGAGAGGTTCTGTCCGGGGTTTATGTGTCGCCCAGATTCCTCTCTTACACCTTCCGGTACCTCTAGTGAGCCCCAGGTTTTATACCTTGCCTCAATGGCAATTTAGTGCAGGTAAGGCACACAGACAGTTCTCTGGAGCCTGGGGAGCAGACAGTCTGAATCTTCTAGAGCACAAGGTTGGTCATGGTGATTTTGTGATGTCTGACAAACAATAGGTTTGTACGGGTGGATAGTAAGGACTATCTTTTGTGTATTTAGTGCGGGGATACGTGTTTTGAATTGTTGACTTCTCTTGAGCACTGTACAGCACTGTATATAGCCTGTGAAAATGCACCAATAAATGCACCAATAAATGCACCACTGTTGGAAGAAAGGTCACTGGACTGGTCCCAAAGCCTCTCAAGATTGCTCACCCCAGGGAGAAATTGCACCCGCTACCTATTCCCCAACTCACAATGCATATAATGCTAAAGCTGAGGCTCCTAGACCCGAATGGCATTCAGGATCCGAATTTCCGAATTGCATTTGGGAGCTCACAAATTCCATTCGGGTCTGGAAGCCTCAGCTTTAGTAAACTATGTATATGGCTCCCAGACCCGAATGGCATTCAGGATCCAAACTTCTAAATTGCATTCGGGAGCTCCTGAATGCCATTCGGGTCTGGGAGCATCACCTTTAGTAATAAATG